CACCATTGTTAAATGTGGTAGTGAAGTTGCTTTGGCAGTAGTGGCCTACAGTTTAGACTTACTTTCATGTGACTTATTATTTTAATCTGCAGTAGCGTTAGCTTGTTTGTAGCATATATCTAGCATTATTTGTACTACAACATTGTAATTCTGAGGATCCAGTGACATTTTGTGGAAAAATGTATGTAGGACAAAACATCTGGTTTGCAACCATATTGTTTACTGAAGGACGTGATAGCAGTGATTTTCAAAAATGCCATTCATTTTGCACATAGACACAAATGCTTAGATTGAGAGTTCCTGATATGAGTATGACACCAACTATAGAATGACACACAACTTCAGAGGTCTATTAATTCACACACATGACAGTAGGCAATAAATCAATGAATTCCCTTCACTTGTTTTCACTCTTGCTTCATTTCACCTGAATGTGTGATGCGTAAAGGGGGCTGGAGTGAAACACTGTTTTCTCCAGTGCAGCCCTTCATACAAAAATAATATATAAAGAGCAAAACTCAAACTTTTTAGAGCACATGTTTTAAAAGTCACAGTCGCAGACTTGAAAGCAGCATCTGTTTCAGTAAGTAAAGTAAATTCATAAATATTGATACAATCATCACTGTATAAGTATGCATAACAGCTTGATATATAAGGCTGTGTTCAGAATATCGACATGCTGACACCGTCGTACGCAAACGTTAGATCGTCATTTTTAAGTGAAAAGAGGTTCAACACATTCTCTACAGAGGACACACTTCTGCAGTTTAATGCACAATTACTGTTTATGTGCTGAATTTAACATATTGTAAAAAATAAAGCATAAAATGTGGCCTGTGCAAAAGCTATGGCAGATTTTATATTTTATGTTTTATTTTATCCACTATGTTAATTTCAGCAAATAAATAGAAATTGTGCTTTAAAATTTGCAGAAATTTTCAGAAAAAAATTTAATTTTGACGTGGTAACTTTCACTTAGAAAATCAGCAAAACATGCAATATGAACAAGGGTGTTTAAACTTTTGCATATGACTGTATCAGCACATCAGTGTTTTGAACATAGCCCTATGTTTGTGAGTGTTTGTGAGTGTGTGTCAGTGTGATGTGTGAAGGAGGTGATAAAAGCCTTGTGGTACATTCAGAATGTGTTTCCCTCCCTTGCTCCTCCAACTGCTTCCTCCTCCTCCTCCTCTCCTCCTCCCTCCTCACCCCCCCACTCAGGAAAATAGCCGCGGGCCAGACGGGTCACACCTGAGACATGCTGCATCCTCCAGTCGTAGGAGGGCCAGCGTGTCTGTCAGGAGCCTCCAGGCTGTTTACACAGCTGACCAGAATTCACCTCCCTCTCACACACTCTCTCGCACACACACACAGACAGTGTTTGCCCTCTGGTTGACACTTGGCTGTTGACTGGTCTCTGCTCCGCTGCCTGCCTCTTTTCAGCTCTCTTTACCTGGCACCCCCGTCAGACCTACGCAAACTATATCCGGACCACTCTGGATCATTTAGATTTGGTTCTGACTGTATGTCCTTTCCTGCTTCCTGCTGTGTTTTTTTTAGAACTCAGCAAAGTGCTGGATGACTCGCAGACAACATCACTATGGATTTCCATTATAGTGCTTTTTGTGCAGTGCTTCACAAATTAAACACTGAGGGACCTGTTTGCAGGTGCAGCTTCTGTTTCTTTCGTAACTTCATAACACAAGTAGGTACCTTGAGGGGAAAAAGCACGATACCCTCCTCTCCTGATCAAACACTGCAGCCAAATCAAATCTCGACACTATGGTCTAATCGTGAGGATCACTGCATTCCTGAGATTTTTTTCCCCAGAAATCTTCTGGGGAAAAAAAGGTCTGTTGAGGTCTGTTGATCAATTTTTTTTTCTTTGTTTGTTTATATCAAGTTGTACAAGAAAAGATGTTAAAAATATATGATTATTATATCGTATGATACTAACCAACAATCCCACCCTCCACCAACTATCGAGCGAAAACACCATTCATCACCTCCATTCTGACTCTGGTTGCTTAGCCTGCTGCAGACTTATCACTTGATTTAGTCTCTCATTTTCACTTTCGGTTTTGGACCAGTTGTAAAAAGAATCACTTACAAGTTATTTCAGTTTGTTCACACTGGCAACCCGTGTTCATGTTAACCTAAGTTTGGCAGTTCAAATATCTGCCAGTATTCGTGTTGTTTTCTGTTGCATTGCGAGGCTGTGAGGCTGTGAGACAGATCAGCTGATCGTAAAACAAATTTGTATGCGGTTCCAGTTTCTTTTCCTCTAACTGTGCATAGGTTTATACATCATCATCCTGTACATGCTAAACTTAAACAATCAGCTTTACAGTAAATTGTTGTGGTACAAAACAATTTTCAGTTTTCATTTTTCTACATCATGCTCCATGCTACACCATGCTACACCATGCTACACCATGCTACATAAATGATCCCAAATCACTTGTAACAAAACCTATTTACATTAACTTACATCAAAATTAAAGAAAGTCTTGGCCTTCTCCTGTTTTAGGAGACACTTTCAATTTACATTGTTCTTAAGAGGGGCTTCTTCCCCCATTTCCCCTGTAAGTTTCAGAGTGGTTACCATGGCTGCACAAGGTATAGTTTCTTAATCATCATTATTCTATGCAGTAATGATATTCCAGAAGGCTAGAATATGCAAATGAGCCCTGAACCATGTTTTATAGTGTGCTATGAGCACCACCTGACCTTTGGATGAATCACAGCATTCACATGATTTCACATTAATGAATCATTTTAGTCAAAAATCAAAAAATCAAATCCTTGACCATGTCATATCAAAGGCTTACCAATGTGTTTTCAATATAGTAAAAGGCATTTTTATAAGTAAGGTTATACTGGCAGATCTGGGAGTGCCACCAGAATTGAGGAGGCAGTGCTCATGATTAAGCGTATTTCGTCAGTTTATATTGATAATTAGTCCAGACAGGCATAAACCTTTGGGTTCTGTTCACATTTTGATCCTGCCAAGTTACATTCTGTGTGCAGCTGCATGATTAGCAGAATATATTTGTGTAGCATAATAATACTTCAGTGAAGGGGGACTTTATAATGCCCTAGTTAATGCCTTTACTAAGTCACAGCAAACCAGTAGTTGGAAATGAACTGCCTGTTCATACTATAACTCAAACTAGGCTGGACACTTTATGTATTATACATCATAATCTTTTGCACATTTTTGATAGGAAGATAAGAAGACAGCCTGATGAAATGCAGTCTAAGAGGTTAGGTATTGACCAGAAGCTTCTTTGCTCTTTTAATAAGCACAGTTCTTACAGATGCCATGCTCAAATAAAGCTTATACACCAGAGGTGAACACCTTCTTAATACATGTTGACAACAAACATGTACTAACTTTATTTTAGAATAGAGGACTAGTTTATTTTTAATAAGAGATGATTGGTGGTTTATTATTTGGTTACTAACATGAATCAAAGGAAAATAAGCAGATTATAGACCCAGTGCTCAGACAAAGGTTGTGCACAAGATTATAATGTATAATGTATAATGTGATTATAATGCATAAAGTGCTCTGGAAATGCTTAATTCACTCTAGTTATTACGTAATAACGTAGCAATGGTCACTCAGTTAATTACCAGCTACTGATTTGATCAGACTCAATAAGAGCCTTACAAGGGCATTATAATGTATCTCTATACTGAGGTGTTACTGCAATATGATTTTCATGTCCATGCCGCCATAATCTAAATGACTTTATGAGCTCCTCCAAATGCAACAGCTCCACTGGTAGAGTGATAATTAGTCCCATAAAGACTCCTTTTTAGTGTTTCACTTATCATAATATTTGTAGCAAAGACATAAAACATCAAAATATAACTTGTCACCAGTGCTGTACAGCCTCAGTTGTTAGTGAGGATTTAAGATTAATAGCTGAATAATAATTTGTTAGTCAATGACCTGGTCTTAATGTTTATTACATACTTCTATAACCTAAGAATAACTTTGCATTTTAGTCCATGTAGGTAATAAATAATAAGCCTTAGGATGTAATAAGCCTGGACTTTTAAGGGGGTTAAAGACTTAATGTTTATAAATAAGTAATATTTAAGAGATATAAAAACACAATAAGAATTACTGTCTTCATGGTTATGGAAAAAACATCCTTTGCTTTTAAGGTAAGTCAATGGAACCAGACTTTTTTCCAAGTCATTTTGGGTCATTTCTTTTAGCCCATTCATCATGAAATTTACATACCATGTAAAGGGCAACAGGTATTTTCAAATTATGTCAAAAACTGAAAAATAGCGGGTGATTCAAAAAGATTAATCCGATTAATCCGCCATATTTTTTACAACGGTGAGGCGCCTAGGAACCAATCACTTACCAATTAAAAGAGGGGGTCATAGAGTTTTAGAAGATGGCTAAATAAGAAGCCTTAGTACGTAATAAGCCTGAGAAGGGGTTCATTTACATATATAGGTCTGGTAAAATCAAGTATTTTTATATGAATTAAAATAAAATGTATTTTTTATATTTATACAGTTTGCAATACGGAGTTTCATTACTTAACAATTGTGTTACAATACAGGACATGACTGTATTACTGTATTACAGTGTACAGCAGAATACAGTCATCACAGTAACACAACAGTGCAGAATACAGTTACTCCACAGTACTCCTGCGGTCCAGGTCACTGTGAGGTCAGTTGTTATTATGTTTACTGTTATTTACTGTTAATCAGGTACAGCATACCGTCAATGTAATTCAATTATTACTTTTATTTACTGTAATTTTACACTTTTTACAGTACATCCTAACATTATAGCCTGCATAAGCATATGTTGATCTGCATTGAACCAGACAAACAAATGCACCCACACCTACACATGTGACCTTGCCATCCTTTTACACAGATGGTGAAGACCCTGAAGAGGCACTGTGAAATAGAAAGAGAGAGAGAGAAAGAGACACTACATCATAGTTCGTGACACTCACTTCACCGTGGAAACTGTAGCTGCCCCTGAGGATGGCCTTGAAGAGGCGTGGCCGACTGCGCTGGTCGAAGGGCATGGAGCCACTCAGCAGGATGTAGGAAATCACTCCTAGTGCCCACATGTCCACCGCACTGCCGTAGGGTCTCCTACCCACCATCTCAGGGGCTAAATACTCAGGGGTTCCGCACAACGTCCTCAGTGCCCAGTCATGTCCATTTCGGCACCTATTATCCTCGGTCAGAGATGCTATTGTGAAGCTATGAAAGCCTTTCTCCTGGTTGTTATGATCTCCATCTTGTCTGCGCTGAATACAGTTAGTTTGTCCTCTAGCTTTCAGCTTGTCATGTGAAAATTGGCTTTGTTTCTCTTGGCCAAGTCTATTTTCTCTTTCTCCTTCCATATCAGGGTTGGTATGTTTAGAAGTTTCTAAACCATCTGTCTGACTTTCCTCTAGCTGGTCCCTTTTAGTACCCCCGGAGAGTGCAGTGCAGCTGCCCCCCTCATTCTCTACACCACTGCTATCTTTTCCCGTTCCATCAAATCCCAACCTTTCATCTATTTCCCTTTCATCTCCTGTGCTGACCGGACACCCATTCGCATCCCCTCTCTCATCTCCTCCAATGGCAACACCCTTTCCCTGGCTGCTTTCTTTGGCTTTTCGATCCTCTACTAATCTTCTGCAGTCATATAAAGCGTCCTTTTCCTTTATATTTATAATACTGCAACTTCTGGTGCCACCAGTACCCCGATCATCATCCACAACTGATCTAGCACAATCCACAATCTCTCGGGCACTTCCAGCTCCACAGCTGCCCCCAACTGTCATATCACCTCTTCCCAGAGTGCGGCTCTTGCTGCCCCAGCAGGCCAGCCCGAAGTCAGTTATGATCAGACGTGAATCCTGACCTGGATGGTAGTACAGCAGATTCTCTGGCTTCAGGTCTCTGTGAATGATGCCCAGGGCGTGGATGTAGCGCAGCCCACTTGACACCATGATGAGCGCCCTGGTCATAAGGGTGGGGGATATGGCAAAAATGAGGGGTGTAAAGTTTCACAAATTCAGAAGTCTGTTCTATGCCATACAGTATAGTGTCTTCACCAAATACTGTTTCTGATACATTAAAAATAAATGAAGAGTGCTATGAGCTAACATGCCATGGTACAACACTATAATACACTGTCAGAAAAAAAGGTACTGTAGAGGAACATCATTATTTTATTGTAAAATCAACTCATCCTTAGGTATTTTCTTTAAAAAACATAGCAAAATGTTGTGAGGTTGTTGATGTTCAGCTGAATAGTAATAGTTAGCAATAGTGATAGTTAAAAAAAGCATTTTTTTGTGGTGTTTGCAAGACTTTTACATTTATATGTTTTTTTTTGATTGTTTACATATTGGAACACAAAATGATTGTTTATTCATTTTGCTAGATATAAGTTTCTCGTTATGTTTGTGCAAATTAAAGTTTAAATGTCTGTTAAATGTTATTTTAGACATTATTTAATGAAAATAGATAATAGATTAAGATAATATTTAATGAAGAAACAGGAGGAAATACAATTTCAATATCTTACTTCTTTAACTGTGATTGTTTAACTACATGTTAGTTGCATAACCAATCCATAGCAATTACTGAACAATAGTTAAGATTAATAACTGAGTAATTAACCGAAGGGTCAAAGAGTTAGTCAAAGGGTTAATAATGGCATAGTCAGTTACTTGTTACTATGCAGTTTAGATACTTCCTTTTCCTATAAGGTTGTTATTGTTTACAGCCACTCTATGAAGTGTCGTTTTATGATACATACAGTTATTGAATGATATATACTACATTTATCAATAATGCAAACATATTGTCATATTTCTCACCCCTACCTTGTGGCGTCAGTCTCAGTGAAGGAGCCTCTAGCGACCACTCGCTCCAGCAGCTCCCCTCCTGTGGCTAGCTCCAGAACAAGGTAAACACGATGCGAAGTTTCAAACACCTCTGCTAGACGGATGATGTTGGCATGGCAGACCCTCCATAGAACCTCCAGTTCTGCACGACATGACTCACGACCTTCGTGGCCTTTGACCTCCAAGAGTTTGATGGCGAAGGGCTGGCGGGTGTGTCTATGTTCAACACGCACCACATGACTGAAGCTGCCCTGACCAATCAGAGCCTTGATGTCATACCTGGAAAAATATTACCCAACATTATGTGGATCCCTTTTTTATGTTCAACACTGGGGGGCTGTGTGTGTGTGTGTGTGTGTTTGTGTGTGTGTGTGGCGGGGGGGGTAATAATGGAGAACCCCCATTGACTACCACTTACATTAAAATTTCTAAAAGCATTTTAAAGCACTATGCTGATAATTATCTTTTGATACCTATGTATATGAAAGCCTCAGAGAACCTGCTCTCAGGTTATTATAATACACAACATTTGTATTCATTAAATACACAATTACCACAGCAGGTCATGGATCTGCATGCACTTCACAGTCTGACCGTCTGCTAAGCCCCGTCTCACAGTTTCTGAGAAGGCTGTGCTCCAAGATTCTGAAGCTTTAAATACTTCGGGCCCTGCTGTGAAGAGAGCTGTTGAGGAAGGACGGTCATTTTATCACATCCCCAGGAGGCCATATCTACCTGACAAATGACAATGAACTGAGGGCAGCATGGCCCAGCTGGGTGGCCACAGGTGAGCTGCTTACAAATACGAGAAAGTTTCTCAAATATGAAACTATAATATGCTTTTGGAGCCAATGATGATAGCAGGGCTTTTAAAACATTTAATGACGCCTTACACGCCTGTACAAATATATTCCGCTAATCATGCAGCTGCACACAGAATATAACTTGGCAGGATCAAAATGTGAACAGAACCCAAAGGTTTATGCCTGTCTGGACTAATTATCAATATAAACTGAAGAAATACGCTTAATTATGAGCACTGCCTCCTCAATTCTGGTGGCACTCCCAGATCTGCCAGTATAACCTTACTTATTTTTAAAAATTTGTCTGTGCATCATACCTGGCTGTGACGCGGGGGTCAAACTTTGTCCGAAACTTCATTTCAGCTTTGTTGGTTTGTCTAATCCTGGAAGCAGCTCCATCATTGACAGGGCCTTGGGTTGGACTCCACGGGTGAGGTGCTCTTTTCTGTTTCTTTAAGTCTTCATCAAAATCCTTGTTTTTGTTGTAGCTCATGACAGACTTCATAAAGCTGAAATGACCCGTCTTTGAGGAAGGCTCTGACAGTAGCCCTACTTTGCTAGCACTACTGCCCATGGTAAACATTAACCAGATACAGCATGTAGTAACTGTATTGTCTTGCCTGATCTGTAGCTATAGCTGCTATAGGATGAGGACGTGCATACCTACAAAGCTTCTGGTTGATTTTGCTGACCAAAGCCTAACCAATCAACAACAATGCTCCGCCCCCACACACCTGCAGTGAGGGGCCTGAGTGCAGCTGCAGATGGCGTGCGGGTGCAAACCTTTTGATCCCTTTGTTCTCTCAAAATGGTTAAAGTTCTGGGGGTCTTAATTAATATCTTTAGATTAGTTTATAGGTTTAACAGGTGGACTCTGACTCTTGCTTCTCGTTGAGAAGTCCAAAAAAGTATCTCCAAAATAGAAAATTTACAGGAGAAGGCAAACTCTTCCTTTACATTTAATGCAGGGGTGTCTGATCTTATTCCCAAAGGGCCAGTGTGGCTACAGTTGTCCCTCAAAAACACACCTAATTCCCTTGTTTAATCAGTTCTTTTCAGTCTTCAAACTGCTGAGTAGTTGCTTTGTTGGAAAGAAAACCTGCAGCCACACGGGCCCTTTGTGGATAAGATTGGACACCCCTGATTTAATGTAAGTTAAAGGGATTTTATTCCAAGAAATTTTGGAGCATTTCTGATGGTTTGTTCATCTTGAAGTGTCCACACAATGTAAAGGACAGCTACTGTGATCAAATAATGTGGAAAATAAAAATTTGCAATGTTGCTTTTATTAATAAAATATGCCCAGATGTATTCTTCCCTCATTTTAAGAATGAAATCTTCTCATTAAATGTAATATCCATTCAGTTTAGCCTACATATATTATAATCACATTTATCCCATCACATTTATTAAATAATAACCATGTGGTGGGCTGAAGGCAATCGCAAGTGGAAGGGAGTAGGAGAACTGCTATAACCTCAGCTCACAAGCACAAGGCTGTGAATGGCCCTCAGGGCTGACCGAAGAGAATCAGCCTGACTGGCCAATCTTCAGCATAATAGTTCTTGGAGATAGAGCAAATCATGAGGGATGGGTTCAGATTGATCCATTACATGATCCGATGTTCTATTTTGGGGGTTTTGGAGCACCCTAAGATGGATTAATCCAGATGGATGCGGCCGGTAATGGGTGAGAGTGTGCTTATCATGAAGTGTATCTGCACTGCTTCATCTGTCTAAAGAGCACTGAAAATGAGACTGGATGAGATGAGCACTTTTCAAAGACCCTGGCTGCTATAACCCCATTACAGAAATGGAATGGCGTAGTTCAAATGTATTTTAAACATACAAATGTTGAAAACGGATTGAAATGCACAGAATGGCCATTAATGCATTTGTACCTGAATGTTCCTCTTGATGTTTGGGACACATTTCTGGCACATAGATCATATCAGCTGTGTTCACTGTGCTTGATAGGGCTATATTTGTACGATTTTGGCCTTTCTGTTAATTCGTTAATGATGTCTTGTCTTTGTGGTTCAGCAGATGGCCTGGGATGCTCCTAAACTAGACCACTAGGGTGCAGTGTTGAGAGAGATTGCTTTGTTTACTGAAGTAAACTTGATTAAAATAAATGGATGAGCAGCATAATAAACTGGTTTCGACTGCTTGTGATCATCCATCGTAATCACCCCATAATCCCATTGTAATCCATTCCCTTAATCTGAAACCCTTAATTACTATGGTAACTAGAAACTTCTGAAGAGCTGGGCAATTAATTTTTGATTTGCTATGAGCTCAAGCATTTGTTGGACTTTTGCTGTGATGTCACATCATCTCCCATGGCTCGATAAAGGTTATCATCACCTCAGAGAGGGGGACACGGACTGGAGTGAGCATGTACGAGTGTGCGGATGTGTGTGAGTGAAAGAGTGAGGAGGGTGTTAGGCAAAAAATAAACGTCTTTGAAAAACAAACAAAAACAAACAAACAGGAGCAATAGCTCAACAGTATGAGCCAGAGCTGTCTCTAGACTGCTGGTTGTACTGAGGCCCACTCTAAATTGAGGGGACAACTTCTTTGCTTGCCAGTTGTAGGAGCAGAACAGTCTACATAAAAAGCAGAAAGCTGCATCTTTTTAACTAAATACTTCATCCATGAAAAGTTGTCCAACCAGGCATTATAAAACTGGTTTTCTGCCAAAGTACTGATGTGGACAGAGACATAAATTTGAAAGGGGTTGGGGGTGGTCGGCATGTCCTCTTCAGTGTTTGGAAGGGGATGGATTGTCCCCTCCAGTAATTCACTCGCAACACATCCAGAGTATTGTTACCACTTTTGGTTATTAAATTTGCCTAGAAATGTATGTTAAATGATATCAGCATTAAAATTCTTTTTAAACATCTACTGCTTGAACAGAGAGGATCTTGAACAGAGGATCTTTTGTTTTAAGCTAGCCCAATTTTTCTAATGTTTAAGACTGTTGATGTTTAATCCCTTAAAATCCAAGGTTTAATACAAACTAAGGCTTATTATTCAGTAACTACAGACACTTCAATGCAAACCGGTTGAGCTATTCTTAGGTTAAGTGTAATAAAACTTTGGGCCGGCTGGCAAGCCCTGGCCATTTAAGAGTTAAAAGTGAGGTAAACTAAGCAGGATAGCTGTGATGATGTGAGACACTGTCAGCTTGTTATCTACCGCAGACTGTAGCTGTCTCCTGGATTGAAAAAAAGCCTAGATTGTTAGCGATAGCTAGTTTTGTAGGACTAGCAGATGCATTTACTTTGTTAAATGAGAGTGAGTCTCATTCTAAAGGCATTCAATTCATAATATCTAACCCTCTTTCACACGGCTACACTGTGATAGAGAGATCAGAGATCTCTAAGTGTAGCCCTTAATCAAGAAAAGGAAGCCAATATCAGAACATTGCTCAGTTTCAAAGTGTGAATGTAAGAGGATGTCATCAGTCACATACTTCACTACTATAGGTTTACCAACTCAAGATAGGCTCGAATATACAAGCAGCTATGCACATTTTCAAAACAGACTTAATTAGTAGTTAGAATAAAACACTTATCTGTATAAAACACTTATCATATGATGGGTCAGGTGGTGTGAGCAGTGTGTCCCCGCCAAAGTTGAAATGAAACCTATTCCACTGGATGTGGATACTGAAACTGAGTATTATTTGCTTTGGACATGTGACTTTGTTTCCTAAGTCTTCTCATTTTACTAAAAAAAAATTAAAAAAATCCACCCACATGCATGTGAAATAATTCATTTGAGACAAAACCTACAAATATGTGATTTTGGTTTTGCATCATCATTTCATTCCAGTTAGATAAGCTAGACAGATGTTTGCCGATTTGAATACATCAGGGAAAAATGAAAAAAAAAAATAAATAAATGTAGGCTGTGCAAATAAATTTTGCATACCTTTTACAAACTGTAGCTCCTTTCACAATCACAAGTTCACAAAATTTATTATATAAATTAATACTGGTAACTGGTAAACTGGTTGTTGTTAATACAAAAACAACGTGCACACACATACACACACAGAGTAACGAGAAATCCTATCAGTGCTGAGGCAGTAAATCACCTGTTATTTGGCTCTTGGTGTGCTCCATATCTGATTACAGCACAGCCCCCTGACATTACAAATGAACTGAGATGTCTGTGTATGTCTGTTTGTGTTCACAGACTCACAGAAACAGCAACATCTCAGGTTAAAAGTACCATCACTAACACTACTGCTGATATACTGCTGGTGTTACTAATTACAGCACCATCACACCACTTTAACACACGCCAGATAACGATCAAATCCCTCATCGACTGAATCAGTTGCACTAGATCAGGATTATACAGAAAATCAAACTGATGGTTTAGGACCTCCATCTATACCAGTGAGCTACATTTAGTCTTCATGGAGCAGCGTTTAGGTTTATTTGTTACTGAATCTGTTTTTTAGACTCATTATCTGCACAGGATCATTTGCATATGCGGTGGTGCCTGGAAATGATATGTATGTGGACAATACTGGAGCTGGAATGTGTTTGGATGTGAGTTAAAACTTTGCCTGTGTCAGCTTTTTCCTGGGGAGTTGTCCAGAGTGATTGATTTTCAGTGTGAAATGGTCAATGTAATGGCCTCTGATGAAACTTTTATGAGGATAATTTGATTTTAACCGAGCTAAACTGCGTGGAATATTCGAGTGGTCTTTTGGATGGGTATTTTCCCTTCATAGATCAAAATATTGCCAGATTGCACTAATAAACACTGTACTCCTAATGTAGGCTAAGCTTTTAATAAACATTTATAGACGTAGCCTGCCATATGTGCATTTGCTGTGTGTGTGAGAGAGATACTGCCAGGGAGCATGCACTCACAAATGATCGTGTAGGAGAATGTTATTGCAGATGTGCCTTTCAGAGGCATTAATATCAAACTGCAGGCCTGCAAAAGCACTTATTCTTTCCCATTGATTTGTAGCCACTGTTCTCGGTTAGTCTATCTTTTTTCTGTATTCTAATAACAATATGTGTTCTAATAACATTTCTGTTCTATAACTCCTTTATGTGTCCCTGCAGGCCAAGTAGAGTGATGAGCAGAGTTAACAAATTGTATGGATGCTGTATCTATATTTAACAATTACAAAGAATTTTCTTTATTATTTTGCTGCAGAGAACAAAGTGTGATAGTTTCTGTTGCTGACAAACTGAATACAGCTGTAAATGAGAAAATGATGTGAGCTATTGTGTTTTTCCTTCAGTGGAAAAGTGGGAGAACGAAAGGGGGGGTGTGTGAGGGAGAAAGCGAGAGAGTTTGTTTACTTCTCACAGGTCTTTGAGAGGTGGGGAAGATCAATGAGTCACTCAGCACCCCCGTCTGTCTATCCGTCTGTCTGTTTTCTCTCCTTCATTTTTTCTTTCTCCCTGTCCTCCCACTCTGTCCACATATCTCTATTTCTTTTCTTCATATTTAACGATGTTTCTACACAGTAAATACTGCATAGACCAATATTGCATATCGGTTCTGTACATCAAATCAAATAAACACATCTAGCGTT